GATGGGATTATTGGTTTCAATAATATTATCCTCACTCTCGTCAGCAGTTGGATTGCTTTGGCCAATGCTTTTCCTCTTTAAATAAACCTTGTTTCCATTAGATCTGGAGATACTGCGACGCTCTAATATTTTTGAACGGACAAACTTGAAGAATAACTCCAAATGTCAGATAAAAATGAATCCCAAATAAATTGACAATTTTGCCAAGGGACAGTCTTTCCATCTAGAATTTTCATTCAGGTTTGATTGAAAATCTCGAATTTGACTTGAGCCAGCGAAAAGACCCATAAAACAGATATAAAAAAGATCCCTATAGTAGATAAGTATATCAACAACAAATAGTTGGAATATTCAAATTTTCGCTTATATATGATTAAATTCAAGCATTTAAAAGCAAAAAATGAAATAAGACTAATGATTAAAGTGTATGACAATAGGGCGACACAAAAGGCAACTTTGATGGTATGAAGGTCCACCAAATCAACCGCGCGGTGTCGAGCTGCAATAATTAGGCGATCCATAGATAGCAAACCATAATCTATGCAAGATTATAACATGTATATAGTCTCCCAGCAAATAATAAGATTATATTTATATTAAATAATAATATTTATTCACAACAACTTAAAGTAATATAAAAATATATACATAGATATACATCTGTTCCTGCTTGTTGGTTTGCACTGCCATATCGTTTCACTTGCATTGCAGCCCGTTATGTCTGTCGGCCTAGGTAGGCTTTCTCTCTCTCTCCCCGGCGGCTTTTGCGAGGCTGAGGAGCATCCTCTCAACGACAAGTAAGACTTAATATCTTGCGTGCACGAGCTTCCAGTTGGAATTACTACATCTTCAAGTATGAGAGAGTTGCTAAATGGGAAAACTGCATAAAACTAATCTCGGAATTCAGCACCGTTGAGCGCTTTTGGAGTCTTCTCCTAGGTACACAAAGGGTTTCGGAGCTACAGAAGGGTACAGACGTTTTGACATTCAAATCAAATATCGAACCTAAATGGGAGGCTCCACAAAATCAAAACGGTGGCAGATGGCTTATGGCTAATATCTTCAAAGATGATGTAGATAGGTGATTCCCGTTGACGTGCTACTATATTTGATTGTAAAATCTGCTATCTAGTTATCATATCTTGTTTTAACACAGGTATTGGGAGGAGATTCTTATGCTGCTTATCGGAAGCGCTTGGGAGACAGATGTTGAAGATGAACAGGTTTGTGGTGCTGTGTTTCAGTCCCGATCTCGTGGATCGAAATTATCGGTATGGACTAGTGATGCCTCAGATGTGGAAACTGTAATGCGCATTGGACGACGTGTGAAGAACGTAGTTAGGTATCCTGATCCCCTTTTTTATCAGACTGTGGAAGAGCAGAAAGTTGCTTCCAGAGGTACGGATGTTCTCTCGGGGACATACAAAATCGACTAATCGTAGGTTTTTCTCTTATTATGGCTGCTATATCTAATTAAATTTCAAGTGGCTGATATTTTGATTATCGGATTTACATATCTCGACAGAAATTATTTGACTCTACTTGTATCTTATTACCGAGGCTGGACGGCCCGACTCGTTTTGATCCTTATCCTAACGCAACCTTTAGCGCTACATTAGAGAGAGGTACTTTGCTAATGTTCTATACCGTCTAGTTCACCCTTGTAGTATCAGGGGCGTGCTTTCATATGTGTATTCATTCGTCTGGAAAATCTGCATCTGTTTTCTAGTTTCACTTCTTCTCCAAGCCACAAGTGATCACTGTTTTTGGTTGATTTTACCGATCTACATTTGTTCAATCTGTTCATTTTCT